TTTGTTTGAACACAAAGATGCTAAATTAAGGCCAGGCAAATTCTGGTTGTCTTTCTCAGATGATTTCCAAATCTCAATGGTACCTCCCACCTCTTCCTGTTCACTCTGTAAAGTGGGTCTCTAACTGGGAGGGTTCCCAGCTCTTTGCCCCTCCGAGATTCCTAATGCTGTGATTATTATCATCATTATTAGCACCCGCAATTACCTTTCACTGCAAAAGGTTGCATTGGAGCATTTAAAACAATCAAATATTTGTGTACTATGCTTTTGTTACCACTGTTGCAATTTGCCTTCTTATCATTCCAAAGACTGAGCGTCTGTTTCATTGTCTCATTCAAGCTTCTTCTAGCTGGAGACCTGTAACCTAGGAGTTTTTATGTAAATCCACACATGGGTTTGGAAAATGTAGGAAGAAGAAAAACAATGAACCTTGGAGTAGATTTAGAAAGGAGAGGCATGAATTTGGCAGATGTGATGTTTTACATTTAAGACGTGGGGCACAGTTTAGAGGCAAAAGTGGAAGAAATCAGTTTGGTGATGGGGGTATTTTATTTTAGTGAAGTAAGAGGGAAAGCCAGGAGGGAGCTGAGAGAAGGACATTTTTGGAGCCACTTGATTTTGTGCAGAGCAGGAAAATTATCTACCCTTTTCCCTCCCCACCACCATATGCTTCCTGAAAGTTTTCTTTTTTCATACTTGAAAGGACCACAGATTTTAATAGTATTCATACATTTGAAGTGCTAGGCAATTCCCAGCTTCCTCTATTTTTGCATTTATGGTAAGTAATTTTTAAAATCCAGGTTATAGGATAAAGTAAAAATAAAATAAATGACTACTATTTAATGAAACATATTTCAAACGCAAAGGCAGAAAGAAAAAAAAGGCAGTTGACCTTAAATAAACTAAGGTTCAAGATCACAACCAGATTCAGGGACTAAATTATAGGCCAGTCTCCCCCAGTGTCTAGGCTGAGAGAGTTTAGTAGGTTACCAAAGCTAGCATTAATTTATAGACACCCCCAGGGCCTGAACAAGTTGAAACAACATCATTAAAAGGTCAAATTTACTTAGAATGTCTCGAATTCAGATGTAATAGAGAAAGCAGACAGGGTGGAAGACAGAGACAGTCAGGGCTCTCTGTACAAAGGTATATTTGTAACGTGATCTATATTGATGCCGACGCATCACACTCTATTATGTACATCTCAGTTTGCAGGTGTCCAGCACTCAGAGCCCCTACTTTGTCAAGCAGAGACATTTTCTTCCTCTTTGGGGGAAACCTGCACGTTGCTGCCCATGGGTAGAGGGTAGGACAAGAGGCAGCTGAGGGGGCATATACAACCCATCATTCCCACCAAGACAAAGGCTGTCTCTACGACCTCTGGTTTCCACAACCTTCTGCCCAAACTGCTTTCCCCTTTCAGATCTTCTCTGGAGGATCATTTTAACTGGAACCTGTGAAGGTAACTTTGGGGTGGGGGAGTGGAGGAGGGGGAGGGAAGGTGAGTGGTGCCTCAGCTCCATAGGATCCAACGTTGAACTTGCAGTCTGTTAGGACCAGCCCTGCATCTACTGTTTACCATTGTGTGGTCTTGGATGTATCTTTTTTTTTTAATTAATTTATTTATTTTTGGCTGTGTTGGGTCTTCGTTTCTGTACGAGGGCTTTCTCTAGTTGTGGCAAGCGGGGGCCACTCTTCATCGCGGTGCGCGGGCCTCTCGCTGTCGCGGCCCCTCTTGCTGCGGAGCACAGGCTCCAGAAGCGCAGGCTCAGTAGTTGTGGCTCACGGGCCTAGTTGCTCCGCGGCATGTGGGATGTTCCCAGACCAGGGCTCGAACCCGTGTCCCCTGCATTAGCAGGCAGATTCTCAACCACTGCACCACGAGGGAAGCCCTTGGATGTATTTTTTAAACACCTTTGATGTCTGTTGCCTTACTCATGAAATGGGTTTTACGTGGTCATTTTGTTGTATGGATTAGAAATAATGTGTATAAGTGACTGGTACATAGTAGGTGATAAATAAATGCAACGCATCTGGTAGCATTGACTGCAACACCCCGGGTCAGAATGCCTCTGTTTCTGCCTTTCACCTTTGGTTCCAAGATCATACTCTGCTCACAGAACCGACACTTGAACTGGAAATAGCTCTACAGTCTCGTGCTGTCCCTCCCTTCCTTTCATAACTTCGCAGCAAAAGGCATTCGCTGGCAATTCCACCGTCTTGTGGCTCATGGATAAGGTCTTTGGTAGAAATGATGTGTATGTAGTGTGCTGGCCCCCACTCAATAGCAAACCCCTGAGCCACAGTCCTCTGATTCCTATTCCCCCACCCATTCTCAGGCCATTCCCAGTAGCAGCCAAGGTTCCTGGGCCCACAGTACCCCCTGATGGCTAAATGGGGAACTTTCTTTTCTCAGTCATTCTTCTCTCTCTAAAACTCCCCCAGGCTTTCACTGTTCACTGCTTTGTTCATTCCATCATAGACCATTCATTTCTTACAAATGTTGTGTGGCCTCCTATGCCTTGCTTTTTTTTTTTTTTTCATTTCTTGCTCAATTATTTCAGAAACATCTATCTCCCTCCCTGTTTCCCTCACTTTGTTCCACTTAATGAACCCTCAAGTTACGGCGATTATGGTTGCAAGTATAAAATAGTAGGATGAATGCATCTCTCAAGAGAAAAACCCCAGGGAATTCCCAGGTGGTCCAGGGGTTAGGACTCCATGCTTCCACTGCAGGGGGCATGGGTTCGATCCCTGATCGGGGAACTAAGATCCTGCATGCCATGAGGCAAGGCCAAAAAATTAAAAAAATTTAAAAAGAGAAAAAAAAAAACATCCATTTAGGAGTAAAATAAGACATAGCTGTGGAACCAGCAGCATTAATCTCGACAGCCCTTTGCAATATCCAGATGTCTTCCTGAGAACCTGTGCAGAAGGTGCCATCTACCCCCCTCTTTCTCCAAGGAACACTGATATTTTCTCAACACTCATTATTTTCCTATTTATTTAATCGCCAAAATTGTACTAGTTTGTCCCCTACTGTTTCATTGCAAATATGATTCAGCTACAGTAAGGGTTAAGTGCATTCCTATGGGTTATTCTGGAAACCAAAGCACGATCTTTCAGCATTAGTTCTCTGTGGGAAACTGAATTCAAAGCTCCAAACAGTCGCTTTAGAATGACCTTTTGGGAAATGCTGCCTATTGTAATTTAACACTGGAAATTTTTGGTTGGGAGTGGTCAGTTTTCAATAATTCATATTGATGTCTATATTCTCTGGTTTTCATTTGTTGAACGGTGACATCTACTGGGATTAGTACTTAGAAAGGTATTCAGGTGTGACTTATCTTATCTGGATAAGATATTGACTCTTCCTTATCAAAGAGAAAATATACTAACCAGATCCTGATTTGATATGTTGATATGTTATGGGAATATTCTAGAAGGTTATTAAATTCATGTCCATGACTATAGATTGACTGTTGGTAAAAATACATCAAATGTCTCAAAATGCAAATTTCCCTTAGCTTAAATTCAAATATGCCAACAATTTATGTTTTTATTTATCAAGGCTTACATTTAAAATACTTTTTAAAATACAAATGATTTTGACGTGGATTAGTAAAATACCTTTAACTTTATGCTTAATTGTTCTGATTTAGGAAATTTATTCTCAAGCTAGAGCTCAGTAATTAGAAGCATCTAAAGTCCTGATTCAACAACAAATTGAAAGATTTCTTTCACAAATTAATATCAAGTGGTTTAATTTTTCCACTTTCTAATAGTTAAACTTTAAAAGTTTATAAAAATTGGTATGAAATAACTGAATTAGTCAATACAATGGTAAATGAGCTATTGTGACCATATATAGACACATGAAAAACATAATTTTAAAGTGTTTTCATAAAATATTTCCTAGTTTGGGCATAATTCAAGCTAATGCTTGCATAGGAGTTTTTTCTTTGAAATGATTCCCATATACTTAGAATTGAAACTATTTTCTCCTTTAAAATAAAAACTGCAAATCAGTTAAAGTAACAGGTAAATACCACCCATCCAATTTCATCAAAATTCTGTGAAAACTGATGTTCTACATAAATTCTAAATTCATACTAATGTAACAATAATGAAGAATATATCATAAAATAGCTGTGTGGTGCAAAAGGTATTTTAATTGATTGCTCATCAAAGAACATTATTTGAGTTGACACATTCACATTTTTCTGAAAAGAGGTATTTGCCTCCTGATAATACATATATACCTTTTGAATTCATAAAGTTTTGGAGGTACAAATTAAAACATTCAGTGTTAACGTTTTTGAAAGCATTAAGTTTAAATTGTTTTCTCAAGACCCAAGGAGAAAACACCAGAGGAAACATAAACAGCCTGAATTGTTTAAAATGTATTTTCCCTTTAATTAAATAAGAAACATCTGTCCAGGGATTTTGGAAATGAATGTAATCCATCCACACTCTGCCTGTACTAGTTTGCATCCAATGTCCCATATTTTGAAAGAAAACTCTCTCTTTCTGTAAAGAATTAAACAGCAACATGGAGTGATATCTGGGTCTGTAGCAGCTGACTCTTGCCTCCAGAGCTTGGGCACTGTTAATGCTAAGGATCTGTCTTTTCCCAGATTTGTCCTTGGGAAGCAACCAAATTCTCTCCGGAATCAAGGTTAGGCTATAACATCTGCCTTTCTCCAAACCATCCACTCCCCCTGAAAATGCTTATCTTGGAAGAGTAAGGGAACAGAAGTTACCAGGATGTGCCCAAAAACCCACGCTCAAAATACCGTTCCCCCTCTGGGGTGCACTCAACATTTTCCTCCCCTTCACTCCGGCTTTAAAAAGCTGATTTCTCTAGGGACCTGCGCTGCCCACAACACAGACCCATCAGACAGGCCACGTGAGCACAAAGAAAGTGGACAGTTGACTTCAGGATGGCTGTGGCTCTTTGAAACCAGGACCCACAGTTGAGAATGACAAGTATCACTTACTGGTGTTGTCAAACGGTATCTGCCTGCACTGCACGGACCCCTCGGCGGGCCAAGGACAGTAGTAGACGGCTCCCCCTTCCACGATGTCTGGCTGGCTGGTGTTGGCTTTGGGCGCTCCCACCAAGACACTCGCTCTGCGAAAAGGGTTGGAGAGGAATTACTCCTTGGGAATCATAAACGTGAGCGCAGGCGACGCAGTCTCTGGAGCAGCCTGCCCACCGAGACTAGGGTCGGGGTCACGGGCAGAAACGTGTTTAGGATGGAGACCGATTGTCAAACCTGATGTCCTCGCGGAAACCTATGGGCGTCTGAAACCTGCTTTGGAAGAGGGTGCAAATGGTCCTAATTCTTCTCTAGGTGGAGCTATGTATATAGTGAGTTGAGGGAAGAGGGGCGGACGGGGTGGGGGGAGGAATAGCCAAGGACAGAGCCCAGCTGCTTGTAGCAGACAGCACTTGCGCCCAGACCCTTAACGGTCACAGGCTACGTATAAACAGACCGTGTTGCAGTCGTGGTTTTCACTGGCTTGAGTCCGCTCGGTCCCGTTTCCCTCTTTGTACGATGCTGAAGTCTTTGTCTCGGGACCTCCCCGGGACCTTCGGATTCTAGGCAAGCGGCATGTCCCTAGCTCAAAGTTCACAAGGCACATCTAGCATGGAAGGCGAGAGAAGAGGCTGGTGGCGGGGAGCCGGACGGGACCCCCAGCGGGCAGCGCGAGGGGCTCTGACGATCGCCTGCCATCAGGCTGCGGGGACAGGCGCGGGTCCCCCGGCAGAGGGGCAGGGACCCATCCTGGGGCGGGGTGGGCCCGCGCGCGCGGGGAAACTTACGTGCGAGCGGCAGGTACGTGGAAGTCCACCGCGTAGCCGAAGTAGCTGCCCTCGGGGCCGCCGTACACCGTGAGCTGGTCCACGTCCAAGTTGAACGCCTGCGAGGCGGGCGACCACAGCACCACCAGCGCGGCCGAGAAGCAGCAGAGGGGCGCGAGGGGCGGCGCCCGGTTGCCCCGGGGACCGCGGCGGGCCCGGGCGGACATCGCCCTCCGCCCGGCCGGTGCTCACCGGGCGGCGGGAGCCGAAGACCCCGGCTGGGGAACGGCGGGCGTGGCGGCTGGCGGTCCCCGATGCCCGCGGCCCGGGTCGGTGCGCGCGGCGCGTCCGCGGGGACAGCCCCGGGCGATCCTCCGCGCGTCCCCTGCGGTCTGCCGGCCGCCTGGTCCCGCGGCTCGGGGGGCTGGCGGAGGGGATCCGAGCCCTCCTCTGGCAGCAGGAGGGGCCGCGGCGCGGTCGGGGCGCCTCCTAGCGGCGCGTCCGCGCACTGCGGGCCGGAGTCCGCGACTCCCTCGCCGCCCTCGGCTTCGCTGGCGGCCGGCCGGCGCCTGTTTCGGCCGCCCGGCTTTTCTGCATCTCAAGAACGATCTGAGCCTCACACAGGCCAAGTCAAGCCATTGCTTTTGGAAGCCGATCTCCCCCCTGCCCTGGCCCCCGCCGCATGGGGCGAGGGTTTACTCCAGTGTCCCCCAAATGGAAGACTGTGAAAGCGTACCCCAGCACGAGGGACGAGGCCAGACCAAGCCGGGATCTTTGCATCACCTCTACAGCCTGAAGACCCTTTCAGGGTCGATGTGCGTTTGTTCGTCTGTGACTGACCTCTCTCCTTCCCCACCTCTACCCGACCTCCCTGCCGAGGTAACTGATAAACAGAGCAATCCTGGAGATTTTATTTAGGTCTTTCTCAAAGGCACGTGGCACACGTCGAATGACTCGGCCCTATATGTCCTCGACCCTGTGTAATTGTGGCAAAGACTGGCAAAGTTGGGAATGTCGGAATTTCCAGTTTACCCCCAGCAGGGGTCGAGGGTGTAGGTTGGAGTCAGCGGGAGTTGAAACTTCAGTTCCAATCCACCACCGGTGTTAACTGATCTCTTTCTGTGTCTTCTGCTTGGGGTAGGGAGTGAGGGATGAGTAGGGGGGAAGGCAGAGGAGAACCGTGATGTAGAAGCCCTTACATAACCTGTGGTCTTCCAGGGATACAGGAATGACGGGGCAGGAGAGCTGCTATTAAGCGTTGAACAGGGTGGCGCTGGGGTTATATAGGTATAACCCTATATATAGGTATATATATAGGTGGAGTGGGCGGAGTGATTGAGGGAAGGTGTTAAAGACAGAAAGGCTGGGATGAAATGGTTGTGCAAAGGGATCAGAATAAAAGTGTGGGTTGGAGAGCAGTGGGAGATAGGGATGGACGTCCTGAGAAAGGATCTTCATGACGAGAACATTTACCGAGGCAGAGGGAGCCGGTTCCACAGCAAAGGCATGACACGCCTACAGGGACTCCAGAAGTTTAGTGGAGGATGTGTGTGTGTTGGTGGAAGGCGGTCGGTTGTTAGAAGGAAGAGAAAGCAAAGCAGCTGTTGCCCAAATGCACTGGCTGATGAGGACTTCGACATGATTAACAGATGGAAGGGAAAGGAAGCCCAACGGGCCCTTTTCTGGCAGGGAAAGGGCCAGAAGACTGATGGCAGAAGGAAAGTGAAGAAGAGCCCAAGGCGAGTCTGCAGGTATCGACTAAGAAGAGGAGAATCACAAACAGAAGCAATGGGCAAGGAGGGCGTAATGGGAGGTAGATGGTGAGTTAGATGCTGGACCTGTTGAGTCTGTTACTAGCATGGGATCCGCGAGAAGCTGGAGGCGTAAACTGTGATTCAGAGCAGTGGTCTAGTCTGGTGGTGCAGGTAGGAGTCCATCCATGGAAAATCTCTGCTCCCATTGAAAAGCTAGACTCTCTCTCTCTTACATTAGAACCCACTTGGCAGACTGAATTAAATTTTACATTTCATCTTTGCTTGTCTCGTCCCTGTAAAAATGCTAAAAATTAATAAGCTATCAGAAGATTATGTAGCAAATCATCACATCTGGATCATTTCCTAACTGGATAGTCCTTTCCCAGACAAGGACTTAAAAGTAGAGGGTAGAAAACCTTTTTCTCAGTCCCAAAGTCCACTTGTGTTGGATACAAAGTTCACTACCTTGGGTCAGGTTACTATTGTTCATAAAAGTGATGTTCCCTAGAGTAAATTTCAATGAGTAATTCACATGCAACGTACACATGGGCATATTCAGAGCTGTGGGAGACCTTGAGACTGGGAAATAACCTCAACTCCATCATTTCCTGAGACTGCATGCTGAAATGTGTAAATTCATCACATTGCAGGCAAGTCTTATGTTGAAATGGAACACCTAAACAGGTAGAAAGTAATGGGGGGTGGGGTGAGGAATTGGGAGATTGGGAGTGACATATATACACTATTGATACTAGGTATAAAATAGATAACTAATGAGAACCTACTGTATAGCACGGGGAACTCTGCTCAATGCTCTGTGGTGACCTAAATGAGAAGGAAATCCGAAACAGAGGGGATATATGTATATCTATAGCTGATTCACTTTGCTGTACAGTATAAACTAACACACTATTGTAAAGCAACGATACTCCAATAAAAATTATTTTTTAAAAAGTATTTTGAGTTAAAAAATCCAGCCTTTTCTCAAGTCTTTATGAGGGCATGTTTCAAAAGATTTACAAAGATAACATAAGCAATCATTATCTCTATTTGTTTAAATTAATAAAGTGCAGTTAAAAACAAAAAGAAAGTAATAGCATAATCCTAGATGTACACTTGGTCCACATACCAACTTACCAGACAGAGTAGCTCAATATTATAAAATGCTTTGATTTGTATAAATCAGCACGTCACCAGGGTATCCCCTTTTGCTACTGTCTCACTTTTTGATATTTCTAGCATGTTCCTTATTTTTAATTCAAGATAGGGGTAGGCCAGGAAAGAAAATTCTACTTATTGCCACATAATTGGATACATATAGTTGTCCGTTTCTTCTAAAACACACTTGTTCTTGATTTATACAGCAAGCCTATATTCTTAATAGTGTCACTTTCCACTGTACAGATGAGGGCATTAAGGTTCAGAGAGGTACAAGCATATTCAAAGTTACAGAGCAAGTAAGTGGTGTGATTTGAACCCAGGACCGGCAGATGCCAAAAACAGTTCCTCATACTATTAGGTCTATAAGTATGTTTTTGTAAGTTATGGCAATAATGAGAAGTCACCTTTCTAAAGTAGCAAGCTCTTCTGGGCTGGCCCTTAGAGCATGCCCATGAGTCATGATTGAGAGGTGGCATAATGTAGCAGTGTGTTAAGAAGTCTCGGAAAAGGGTTTGGTGGTACTTTGGTATTCAAAGAGTGGAGGGAAAGCAAACTTACTTAAAGCTCTTTGACCTCCCTGGGAGACCAAGAGCCTGGGAGAGTAGTAAATCTTCCAAGAAGCCAGAAAAAAAATCTGCAATAATTGCAGGGACAGAATAGGTCTGCATAGGTGTCTTGCACATTGCGCTATTCTGACATGTGGGAACCATGCCAATCAGTAAAACTTGGGGTACCGTCAGAGAAACACATGGACAGTGACAGGTCTTATGCTGAATGAGAAGTTTGATATTTTAAAGATCTACTAGCACTGATTTATTTGTCAGAAAAGCAAGTCTGGGAATTGTTTGTCATGCATGTGAGTGCGTGTGTATATTTAATACCGAGAAAGGTATACATAGTTGTTTGCCTAAACAGAAAAGAAAAGAACCCAAAGGTCAAAGATGGAACAGATTTGGCCCAAACGTTCCAAAACTAAATAAGTAAAGAGTAGCCTAGGAAAAAGAAAAATGCTCTCTGGGTTGTAGCCATGTATGAAGTACTTAGAAATAGAGATGTTGTAACATTTAACCATTAGTGCATACTTTTTAACAGAAGACCAAATACATTTGTAACTTAATAACCAATTACTATTCCCCACTGTTTATTTTATTTCTTAACAACTTTTAAAAATATTTATTTCTTTAACTCATTTATTTTCTTAATTTTTTTGGCTGTGTCGGGTCTTCGTTGCGGCACGGGGGCTTCTCTCTAGTTGTGGTGTGAGGGCTCCAGGGCACGTGGGCTCTGTAGTTTGCAGCACGTGGGCTCAGTAGTTGAGGTGTATGGGCTTAGGTGCCCCGTGGCATGTAGGATCTTAGTTCCCCGACCAGGGATCGAAGCTGCGTCCCCTGCCTTGGAAGGCAGAGTCTTTACCACTGGATCACTGGGGAAGTCCCTCCCCGCTATGTTTAAATCTGTTTCTTTATGTGATAAAAAGTGATGCTGCCTCCAAATCAAGAGCTAGGGGAGTCCCGATCTGATTATTTCATTAATACAACCACAATTTCAATATGTTGAACCATTTACAAAATAAGCCAGTGTAAAAACAATGTGTTCTTGAAGATTCCATCAGCTTTAAAAATGAATGCACCACAAATGGAAGGTAGTTTTTCAATCTTTTCTCGTATTTTGGGTAACTGAGGTGATCTCAGGGTTTTTTTGGTTTGTTTCTTTGTTTTTGGTTTGATTTTTTTTTTCTTTTTTTTTTTGCCCAACTGGACTCAGAGTTTCTGCAATATTAGAAACCACTCATTAGTGAACACTGGTCAATTAAACTTACTTTGGGCAAACAACTTTTAAATCTGTCAAGTGTCTCTGCTAGCATAAGCTTATGTCTGCAAATTTTCTATTTCTGGTCCCTGGAGGATGAATCTCATTATAGTAAAATCTTTTTTTTTCTTTTTGATAATTTTGTTTGTAATTCTCTTTTATGATTTCCCTTCATGATTTTATTAGCCACTTTTAAGTTAAAAGTGCTGCAGCAGTGGCCCCCGTGCTGGCAGATGTTCAAGCACAGCCAGCAGTTGGTTTAGCTGAAGGAAAATTCCCACCAGACTCTGACTTGATCTCTTTTTAGAATGAGCCTTTTAAAAACAACTCTGCTTTAAACAAAAATAAAAATAAATAAAACAATTCTTTCTCTAAAAAAGGAAGGTAACTGAGGCCAATGATGTTCTTCCAGAACCTTGACATCTGGGGATAAATCTTCCTGAGAGTCAAAGACCCCAGGCAGCTGAGCTTATACGCAAGACCTTGATTTACAGATTTTAATT